AGATTTGCAATAAAAAATTTTGAAAATATACAAAGTCCAGTAAACAAATCCATTATAGTGCAGTGCAGTAGTTGCTATAGAATTATATCATAGATATGTACTACGGATGATGTAATCGTAGTTACATCAACATCGTGAAAACTTAAAGAAGAAGAAAAAGAAAAAAAAAGGAAAAAAAAACTGAAGTGATTTCTAAACGAACGAGATAATCGCAATGCCATTCCTTTTCCTGAAGGAACCCTGAGGAGGTCTTTCCCAACAATTTTTTAATGGCTTCTCTTGTAACAACTAAGTAATATATGCAACAAGCGATTTAATTACTATTTTTGATATATAAAATGTATAAAAAAATTAGATGAGTTGAGAAAACACCGATTATCTGAACCACATCGAGAGAGGCTATGGACTCACTTTTGAACAGCAATTAACATAATCAGCCGTTTGTTTTTCTTTTTGTTTTGGTATGCAAGAAAAACTTACACGCCTCTCGACAGCTAATTAGAAATTAAAATATTCGCCTCAATTAGATAACAAGCCACAGACAACTTTCACACCAATGAATTTCTGATGAATGGATTCAACTTGCATATCTTCGATAAACAGGTATTAATGCAATCTTTTTTCTCCTTTTCATTAACACAATCGGACGGGACGCTTAACAGTCTTTTAAGGAGGCATTACACCTTCTAGCTAGAGCTAAACAAGAAAGAAGAAACCTTTCTTTTCCAGGTGAAAACCATATCAAAGCATTTATCATCAATTTATCGAAGAACTTCTATTTCCTTTTACATTGCGTTTAAAAATAGATATGCTGTTTGATATTCAAGCCGATTATTTAAATTTAAAACATAAAATTATTAGATTATTATTATTATTAAAGAAAAGATAACTCAAGCAGCGTACGACTAGATCAGTAGAATTCGCGTGGTATTCAGCCACAACGGCTAAGAAGTTAATGGTAACAACAGCTTCAAATACAATTGAAAATTTTACCCCAATACATTCTAATCGATCTCTGATATGCCTATGAAACCTATAAAAAAAAATTAAAAAAACCGGATCGGGCCATTTTTGCTATCAATTTCCATATAACATAATCTTAAAAAAAAACTATCAAGTGAAAAACAAGTAACGATATTCATTATTACTCGACCAAAGGTATTTCAATCTGGTAACTGAATCTAGAAAACGGAGGGAAAGTGTATTATAAAGCCCTTCTATATAAAAGTTCTTACTAAAAACCTGCCCTATATGACAGTAAAAACTTATCGGGTCATGACAGAATTTGAACGCATAAATTTACTCTGCTATTCTTCTTCCTGTCTCTCTCCACACATATATGACTCACAGATATTTATTTAGTATCAAAATGTATATATCAGAGAATCGTACAAAGAAATTAATTAAAATGCATTACCGAGATGTCAAAAATTGTACTCTAATCTAGTAACGATCGCATTCCTGCTGATGAAGCAGAGCAAATAAAAAGTAAGAGCAAATCATCTGTTAGCGATATTACTAATTGAATTAGATCTTGATTTCTAATAATAGGAAAAATCATTGTTTGTTTTTCTTTCATTTGCATTATTTAAAGGAACAAACATGGCTTCGCTATAATTTGCGTAAATCCATTTGAGAGGAAAAAATTTCATTTATGAGCGCAATTACTGAACATCATTGCTTTGCTTGTTTATTTGTTAAGCAAGCTTGCAAACGCTTGTAAGCGTTCTTTACGCTTTTATATTAAAGACGAACATAGTGGGGGGGAGAAGGTTGAACTGATTTCTCGATAACAACTTTCTCAAGGAAACACGGACAAATCGCGACATTTGATAGACACTACATATTTTTTAAGTTTCTTTAATTTTACTTGCTCTGCTTAACGGCATAGCGACAGAATTTTGAAATAATAGTTTCGGCATAGTTAAGAAATTTACGAAATTTCCCCATTTCTGAAATCCACTTGCAACCGTTTCCAAGCATGATGTTTGGAATTCAATAACCAACATGTTTAACAAGCTTTAACCTTCTATTTTAGTTTTTTGCCACATTGAGAATTTCAATAATAGCATCGCAGAGGAACCGACCGGCATGAGTAAGTTAACGTCGAATCGATCGTTGAACACCTTTTGCAGCCACCAATCTCCGCTTTTGTGTCTGTTTTGATAGACGCAGTCAATAAACTACTATGACTTATTCTCAGGCGGTGAACACAAAAAAAAAAAAAAAGAAGGTAGCAATTTAATCATAGTCCAACAACAGGGAGAGAGAAGAGAGAGTTTAAACAACAATTTCAAATGCATAGAAAAAGAAAATGATAATAAAAAAATGAAAAACAAACAAACTAAAAAGAAAAATCCCATAGAAGCGAATCAAGTCAAAATAGAGATAACCCGCAAGACTCGGGTGCAACATACACAACAATGAAGTTGCACTTTGAACATACACGACGACCACCATGCTGTTATCTGTTTGCAATGCTATAATTGTTGTTGGCTTTTATTTAACAATCGCATAACAACATATATACACATACACTCACTCACCCAAGTTGCTATTGTGCTATGTTGTTTTGCGTTGTTTAAAAACTGTTGTATCTGTTGGTTGATGTTGATATAGACGATGATGACGATGATGGTGGTAGTTGTGGTGGTGGCGTCATAATGGGCCAAGCAACTATCATAACGCTCAACGAAATTATAATAACTCTATTAAGGATTGAAGATATGTTCATAAATACAGTCAAACGTATATAGCAACAACCACAATAAAAAAAAAAGCGACCACAATAATAATAATAATAATAACAACAACAACAACAACAACAATATCAATAATTCTTTTTGAAAACCTTATTCTTCAACTACAACAAGTTTTGATGTTTAAGTTTTGTTTCAATTGTTTAAAGCTTACATATGGTCCTCATATATACATAACATGCAGTGCACTTGTATCGGGAAAAGGATTGTGGCAACTGTAATAATAACAGCAGCAACAACAACGACAACAACAACAATAACAACAATAACAACAATAACAATAGCAATAGCAACAGCAGCAACAAAAAGGAACAAACCCATTGAAGAAGTGCATTTCATAAGTACTTCAAACATTGAAAGAAAACGACTTGATGCTTAGGCAGAAGAGTAAAGAAAACAGACCGACTTGAAATGCAAACATAGCACTGTGGTGGCAATAAATAGGTGTAGGCAACAAGAATAACAACAATAAGAAAAGCTACGACAACAATAATAACAAAAAGAGTAAGCAATCAATATGAGTGAGACCCTCCGTCATCATGATTGCCCGCTAAACATTTTCTTTTTCATATTTTAAAATGGGATTCCTTTACCCTTCTCGATGGTTGCATTACTTTTGCTCGAACGACATATAAGTTGCGAGTGCGCGAGGTTTTCGACTTTAAATATTATTATACCGCCACCTCATCATAAAGTTCTCAGATATTTTTCTTTTTATACAATTTGTGTAGTGTGTAGTTTTTAATGTTGTTGTAGTTATGCTTTATTTATTGTTGTTTCTTTTTATGAAGTGGCGCGCGGTTATGCTCACGATTTTTCATAATAATTTTTTTTTTCCTTTTCACCAAAACCAAAAAACAATAAGTAAAAGAGCGCTCAGTGGTTTTAGTGCGAATCTTAGGTGCCTGACACAGAATTCAAAACAACTCGCTTTTAATTTCATCGTCCGGTATGTTTCCATATACGGTAAATACGAAAGTTGTTCATTTTTATATTGGCTACGATTTACGAGGCAGATGTATTATTGCTATGAGTATTCTTTCTCACAAATAATTTTCGCAAAATTTTTACTTAATTACCGATCGGCTCGTAAGCAATTGCAAGGAATGATAACGAACTTGTAGTAGTAAGAGTTATTGAAAATTAAGATATTTAACTGCATAGCGATATACATGATTAAAAGATTTTTCTACCTTAAAAATTTAACTTTTTAAAAACCTTTGTAGGCAGTGTAATAAATGTAATACGAGAAGTACACGCCAGGCAGATAAGTGACTAAATATATCGTATTATCCCAAGAAGACACTTTTTTCCATCATATGTGCTGCAAATCATTTGTCAAACTTAACAAGCTTTCTAAGCCGATACTTGTAGAAATTATATATAAAATATTCATTTTTTTTTTTTTTTTTTTTTCTCTCTTTGCTCTCGCAATTATTAGCATTTTTTATGCTCACATTAATATATTAGTTAAAGTAGTAGTTGGATCTGTGCTTACTTGCATACGCTTACTTGCATAGACGTGAATATGGTGGCAATTTCAAAATACACTATGAGTTAGGCTACCACCAGCACTATCACCTCCACCGGGGTGGTCTTTTAAGTGGTCGAGTATGAAACACACGAACAAACCCAGAGGGAAAAAGTAAAACAAAAACAGAACAAGGCAAAAAAAAAAGAATGATCAGCCATTCACTTCATTCAAATTCATTAACAAGAACAGTTTATCGCATCATTTATTAGAAGATTTAAGTGAACTAACTGTAACATAGAGAATACGTTGTTCAGATAGAGAGAGAATGTGTTGTTTTTTTTTTTTTTTTTTGGTTGAAAAGCAATCACAATGTATTCAAAAATACAAATTCAACAAAATCTCAGTCAGAAAGTCTACCATTTTTCAGGAAATTTAATATGCAAGCAAATAAAATTCTAAAAAAAAAAAAAAAAAAATTCTTCTTACTGAGTGACATGAGTGAAATGAAAAAGGTCATCAACAAAAAGTTCAACAAAAAGAGATAAACTGTTTTTTACATTCGACCGATCATACACTCGGTCTAATGAAAAATATTGAGATTAGATATATCAGTGTTGCGTCCCATCTTGATTTCAAACCGAATAATATATCAATTCTGTTAGTTTTCGCAACAATTCCACAACTATGAGGCTACAGTTCACATTTTAAGAAAACTGTGGCGATCATCCTCATTATTGTCTCTCTCTTATATATTGTACTGCCGTTATTGCATAATAAATGGTCATCTTGATGTTACTTCTAAGAATCTATATGTTACGGCAAAGCCATAAATAACTGCGCAAAACATTTGTTCAACAAGAGAAACTAGAGTCGTATATTTTGACAGATTTATTGGGAATCCTCGAATTAGATTTGGATTGATGCATTCAAACGCAAGAAACCTATCCTTATCCTTATCCATAAGATCATTTACACATACAAGACTGGATGTGCCTATGACAAGGTAACTATTCCGTTGTAAATACTTTATGTTTTAAATATGAAAAATTTACGCTTTTGCGCCCTAATCATGATTGAATTTATTCCGTCATCACTTGATAATTTTCTATTTTACATCGATACCTTAGATTTCAGTATTTCATGTTTTCAATCTTTTTAATCAATAATGTTCACTTAATATAACATATTTTATAATAATATCAACAGGTTGAGCTGTAAAATGCTCAAAGTTCAAATGACTTAAATTATGACTAAAACAAAAAAGAAGAAACCTGGACACAAAAATGATGAAAAATTTCAATCAAAAAATTACATTTTTAATTGACAGCATGATTAAGCGCATACAATATATAAATATAAAGAAAATATTTCCATTTTTTTTCAATTTGTTTATAAAGCGCAGTCTACGATCGATCGTAAAAATAGTAGAAACAATGTAGACGCAATATCAAGATTGCCTTATGTATCAAATTAAAATATTAAATAATTTTATTAAAAATAATAATTGGTTAAGAAAAAGAGTTTAAATATAACTAGCAGAGGTACAAACCAAAAGCATTAACAGAGTTCCATGAAACCAAGTCCTCTAAGTTCCGGAAGTAAATATGGCTTAAGTATAACTATTCTAGAATTTTGTTAAAAATTTTATTATAAACAAATAATTTTTTCTATTATACTTAAGCCGGGATTTCCCAAATTCAAACTAAAGGAAAGAAGAATAGCAGAGGGAGGGATGGAGAAAAGAAGGGCAGAAGAAAGTAAGCATATCACATGGGAGACTGAATATAAATCTTTTGATTGTTCGCATATGTATTTCAGTTCAGCTAAATTACAAAGTCCTTAAGAGTAAAAGCCTAACCTAGTTAGAGCTAAACTGAAAGAGATGTTTAAACTACGAAATGCATATGTAAGCAAGAAGATGATCTAGCTCAACCATATACTCCACTCCACGACTGATATGTGTCAAGTGAGAGTGCACCTCATGAACATTATTTAGTATGTTGGTGGAGCGCAGCTCAATAATAAAAGTTTAAAATTTAGTTTAAGTATGACATCGGCAATGCACGGGTATTAAAACCAGCAGTTTTACTGGAACCAACTGGATCCGATAATGAAATTGGATTATAAGCCTAATGCAGATTTTTACAAAAGTAAAAAAAAAAAATGAGTTGAAAAGTTCATAATTGAACCTGCATTGGCTAAGTTTGAAAAATAAAAATTCCATAAGTAGTTTAGGTAACACACTTAGTTTGGCAATACCTTTATTTTGCTTTCAAAAGTGTGTCTATCACCTGCTTCAACAGAACGGTTCAATGCCACAATTTTTAAAAAATACACGACGGAAGCCCTTCCGGGTCCATCTTACAGCTATACTTTATCGATTTGAACCCTTATGAAACGTCACCTTCAGAGGAATTAACGTACTCCCGTTTAATACGAATACGAATGGGAGGGATTAAAGTTGCTGGGGTTGAAACTAGATGAGAGAACTTAACAAATGTGTTTGAGAATCATAGGACTATTAGGCTTTTCATAACAAAGGAAATGCAGTAACTTGTCTTGCACAATCTGCAAAATCGCTTTGATTTACTAACGCGAGAAAGTTTAATCTTAACTACGTACGTGGAATAACATTCTTGGCTAAATTAAGAGAACATGCTTCTGGTTTAGCATATTCGAGGGAAGAACTACTTTTTTTGTATTTTCTAAACAAGTTACCCTTAGTATACAGGGTGTGAACTTTCCACACTAGAGTAAGACACTAGCACAGATAAGAAAGTGGCAACATTAAGCCATTTGCAAGAGGAGAATACCAAGATCGTGTTCGTCCATATTGAACTGGATCAATCGATTGAGATCGATGTGTATTAAACATTTAAGTAGAGTAAAATCCGCATACTTTGGCTGGTTAGGACTGGTGCTAAATGGACTAGACAAGTTAGTATGGACGACTTTACTGATTTGTACTGATACTTTAAATGGAGAATGTGGATTTTCAGGTAAGATAAAAGGCCGAAGGTCCTTCCATTCACAGAAAACATTAGGTCCAAAGCTCTATTATTGATATTTGGAATAGCATTTCGTTGGAAAAGACCTAACTAACAACTGGCCATTTTGGCAAGTCACCAAGCATGATAAGAAAGACATATTTTTTGTAAGTACTTGTACTCGAGATTTGAGCTTCGCATGGACGCAAACAAAAAAGAACTCAAACCTGCACATATTCGGGTTCAACCAAGTTTCGGTAAATGCTAGCATTGAAAAGTCCCGGTACAAGCAGCTAAGAAAAAAATTGCCACACAATTGAAGTTTAGTCCGTTAGGGTTTTGAAAAATGATAGACAAATAATTATTTCGTTTCTTCAAGCCGTATAAGCTGGAGTCACAACTATTGAGTTTAAGGAGCCTCGTTTTTGCAGGGCCACCCATCAGATTACCCCTTGGAGCTCTTGTTTTTTGGGTAAACACTACCATCTGGCAGAAACGCCCTATATAGATTGATGCCAAAGTGTTCAATGAAGAATAGGATTTTGAAGAACACAATATTCCTCTGCTGAGCTAACTTCAATTTAAAGACCGATACCCTACTAGCGTTAAGGAGGATTGATTGATCAAGAATTCGTGCAATATTGATTTCAGTTTTTCGCAGTCCTTGGTGCATAACCCATATAAACCGAATTTCCAAATTCCCATAAAAAAAATGCCCCCAAGAAAAACTTAATTATAACCTTCATAAACGTTGGAAACGTAATCAGTCAGGGATTCACTCATGCAGTATTGTTTTCATTTGCTCACAGTATTCGATTTTCTTTCTTGATATTATCCTCAGTCGAAATTTCCACATTGTTAAGATGTAACAGAAGAAAATATTTATGTTGTTATTGACAGACGATTTTTCCAAGGTCACATAAATTTTAATTTAGCCAGCTAAGACATTTACCAACTCCGCCAAGAGTGATTTGTAAATGCAGCACATTGTGTACATGAAATTTTCACAGCTATTTATTATTTTAATTTATTTAGATTCTTAAGAATTCAACTACATTCCGTTAAAATCTGTTTAAATGTTTTTTTTATTTTGCAGATTTTCTCTAATCCATTACATCGAAATAATAATTTGGCCATAACAGCTTGAGAGTAGAAACAATTTACAAAAAATGTTTCCTCGTCTGCCCGGACCGATTGGAGCAGACATATTAATGGGTGCCACTACCACCGTCCGTACAGCATTTCCGAATTCACGACTCGATTCGCTTAACAGTCATAATAATAATAATAATAATAATAATAATAATAATAATAATAATAACAATCAACATCCACATAACATACAAGCTGCAACACCAACACCAAACACTGTACAGCAAGGTAATCAACTATTATCGCCGTATGATCCTTCGATAACCGCTGACTTTGATGCGACAGCACCCATTAGTGACGTTGGCACAAATGCAACATCAATTAGAAACTTATTGCCCGCTGCCGAAGAAGATTGGTGGTCGAATGCCATCGAAGAGGATACGTTCGAGTCACCGTTGGCCTTCGATGCCAGCGAGAATGGTCTATGGAATGGACGTTTTGTGCCACCACCACCGCGGCCGCCATTTCTCGATGAGAGCGTAGCCGCTGACGGACTAACCACTTGTGATCTATGCACTTGGGCCTGGCAACGTAATGCCTATTCGTTAGATGGCTCGATAGGTAAGTAGGCGTTCACTGCACCCAATTGAATTGATTAAAAAATGAGCTTTGATTATAAATTTAAAAAAAAAAAAAAAAAACAATAAGTAAATGCATCTAACTAAGCAATAGCTATAGAGTTTCACTTTTTATCATCGATAACAACAAACAGTAACAAAAGCAGGAATAACAAAAGCAAAAACAACAACAACATCAATATAGAATTTATAACCAAATGCTAGAATCTTAGGCCATTGCAAATAATTCAAGCAATAATATATATATATATATATTAAAGAATTCATGTGAGTATATGTTAGTGTGCAAAAGAAACGAAGCGTGTATAGAGTACTGAGTATAGCTAGTGATGTTACGCCAAATAGCCTAGAGGCGGCTTTTGTTTTATCGATTCTTACGATCGATCGAAAATAATTTATCGCTACAATCACTGATGGCGATTTATCATATTCCTTTTTTCTCCTACTTTTTTATCTATGCTTATAACTAACCAACCAGAGAGACAGACATCAAGCGCAATAGCTGTAAAAGATTTACCTTGAGCAGTGCAAATAAAGAGAAGAGAAATAATTTCGTTTAACTTTTTAGGAGATAGGGGGCCAAAGCAAGTGCTATATGTACGTATGTAGTTATTTATACAAAGCAGCTTTAGTAGAGATACTAGTTTAAGGCTCAGCTGCTTAACGAACGTTACTACTATTACGTTACAAATACTATTACTAAAGACAACAAGTATTCACGATATTTTCAATATAACGAAAAACGATTTAATTGAAAAATCTGTCGCTTATCTCTGTGGCAATCGTTAATAAATTGAAACAATAACCAGAGAGCACATGATTCCTCCTGGAAAAATTCCTTAAGAAAAAGAATTATTAAGCCAATGGCATAAAGTTGGAGTAGACAACTACATATCTTTCTTTCTTTTTATTTTTATTATTTTGGCAAAAAACTTATAAAACACTTCGAATAGCTCATTCGATCGGGATGAAAAGAAATAATGAATGAAAGCCAAATTCTGTATTTATCTTAAGCTAAAATGGACTGACTATAACACATCCTGCCTTTTACCTCAGGGAACAGTGAGAATACACTCGATTGTCTAATCTATTTGTAACACTCATAACTATATAGCCAATACATCCCTGAGGCTGACATATACCTCTCATTCCTAAAGAGAAAAATAATACTAACCCGTAGACGACGCCTGTTAAATTTTCAAGTCATGACAATTGGTTTTTTGTACAACTTGCTTTTTGATGGGAACACATATCGTCCCAAACTATACACAATACAATGCAAATAGTAACGTGTCACTGATTTGAAGCGCTGGCAAATTTAGTTGGATCGAAGTGCGAATTGCTAAGTCAAACAGTGAAGTCATTATGAGAACTGAAACATATTTTGAGAATCATTCTATAAATAATCTTTGTTTGGAGGCGCTCGGGAATGAATTGTATCATTTTTGAAAGAAACGGACCGAAATGACCTATGCATCAGGTGTAGGTTTCTTGCGCGACTTAGCCACGCCCGCCCGTCATCCATCTATCCATGAACGTGTCTGCCTGTCGTATCCTGTTAAGGATTACTGGCGACCACAAAAACTAATATTAAACAAGTAAAAGCTTCACGGTTGGACAAGGTCAATTATTAAGTACCCTATGCAATTCTTTACTTATGTTCGTTATAAAATATTAAAATTGCTCATAAATGTATATATATATTGCAAAATGAAAGTATACTTTTCAGGAAAACCGTTATATGTGGTGAGCTAACAGAAAGATACCCATCTAATCCAAAATTGTGCTCATATTGTAGTAACTTTCGCCATGAAATACTAAAAACTGTATCTTTTTTCCGCATAAATTCTTACTTCTCCCTAAAACTGACTCACTGGGGACTAAAAATTGATCCGACTTCATTCAAATTTTTTACTTCCATACATTCTTTCGCAGCAAAATTTCTCGGGAAATATTAAACGATTACAAGTGATCGTGGAAGTGGTCCCATTCTATCGTGTTAGCGTAAAAAATTTCACCTTGGAAACGTTAGCGTGCAACTGGGTTAATATGGGCAGAAATCAAAGAGATAGAAAGGCTTAAATAAATTCAGAAAATGATTCTCTATCGATAGGTATGTAGTAAATGGATGTCTCTTTCACAGATCCTTCTAAGCGTAGCGTACGTTGTCACAAACTTAGCATACCTTTACCATAAATTGTGCAGGTATAAAAACTAAAGCATTATATATAGCATGTATAACTATTTAGTTGATGGCCAGATATTAAGTTTCTTCAGTTGGGCTATTTAAAACTTCAATTGCCAGGTCCAAGTGATCAGCCCATTATGGACGATAAAACTTTACCTACATCCCATAACATACGTTGATGTAAAGAAGATAAAAAATGACGTCAGTGTTAAATATTCATTTCTAAAACAAATAAACCTCGGCAGCTGTGCTACTTACAAATCCGGGAATAAGTGGGCGAGAGGTTAATAAGGCTTAATAATAAGTTTCTGTAACGTTAGTTGTGTGACCGATGCTCGGTCATTGTGATGAACAAGAATTTATTGACAAATGCCAAGCGTTGCCGAGAAATTTCAGCGCATCTCTTCGATGCCTTCATATACTCATTTCTCACGAGATAATTTGAGTAACTAATGATTACCAAACCATTGCTATTTTTTTTTCTTTCTTTTGATGCGCTCTTATTAGACTTTCGGACGATTTGTTAAACTTCGGCGCAATATATGAGTCATTTGTCGTCACATTTTACCAAAGGTAAAGACCATATCGGAACGACGAATTTTTATATTTGCTTTGCATTTATGCGGCATGTATTCAGCAATTTTTAATTAGCTCTTGAGTAGTTTTGACCTGACTAAACCTATCAAGGTTTCTTTGTCGTCAATCTCTGCTTTTTTTTGAGACAAATTATGAATCATACAGTTAGACACTTGTGATCTTTATATATACAGCTGACAATTGCTCATTTTCTAAGATGTTAGTAGTGCAACATAGTAGTAAATGTAAAATTAATATCAAGAAAGGATTCAACGAAATTTTGATCTTTAAAACTGCTGTCAATATGAATATGAATACAAAAAGTACATATGTATTGAACATATGGAAAAAGGTCTGTTTAGATAAAAGTTTAGGAATAATTTACATAGAAACAAAAATGAGCGCAACAAAATTCAAGGCTAACTAATTGGTCACAATGCGAAATAAACTCTTAATAAATTGCTAATCAAATCTACTATGTGTAGTATTCATGTGTTCATCCTACATATATGACTCAAGAAAAGTGGTAACAAAGTTGAGTAACACATCACATCGATATTATTTTAAAAGCAAACTTATATAACCCAAGGTTATATAAAAGATCAATGTAGAAATTGTCTGGGTCAACATAGTGGTACGCCTGCAATATTGTATTTAGAAGAAAAAATTTGACCTCAATATATTTCTTTCTGTAATCGTCAGGACAAGATTTGCACTGCAATTATAAACAAGTAAGAAAATTATATTCATTTGCGATCGAATCCTTTATCCCCATCACCATTATCCTATAAAAGATCGAAAAAAGAAAAATGTGCATCTCGAATAATAATCGGTGGGTGTGGACCACTTTTCTTATATATTTAGAATAATTTTTGGGAAAATTTATGTCTCATATCTGTTGTAGTTTATGAGCAACGAGCAAAAGATGCGGGAAACAAAGTTGTGGTTTTATAGATGTGTGGACTACGTAGGCGTGTTCTTTGAACTTTTTGGGCCATTTTCAAACTCTTACAAACTCTAAAAATCTTTTCTGCGAACGGAAGAATGTGGAGCACGAATTTGCGCCAATGGACAGATAGACGGGCTAATAGATAGGCAGATGGACATATTTAAATCGATTCAAAATTTGACGCTGCTTAAGAATATGTATACTTTGTGGGATGTCTGAAGGTTCCTTCTGGGTGTTGCAACTATTTTTACAAAATGGATATACTTCTCATACTTCGATGATGGGTATAAGAAGTCATATTATATATGTAGCGTTGAAACGTTGCCATTTATATCCCAGAAATCATCTCTTGCAAGCTCTTTATTAAAATGTATCGTTTTCGTTTTACCTTAGAATATCTTGCACTGAATATAATTTCATATATGTATACATATATATATATATATATATATATATATATATATATATACATATTAATTTATTTATTTATATGTGCATATATTATACAACAAATAAGAAAATCATTCATCTACCATCTAAGTTAGCCGAAATGTGAAATTCAAACGAGAATGTATAAAGTAAGGGAGTAGAGGACATTGTGCGTTTGGAAAAAGACATGAGCTCTACGCACATGCAATTAATAGGCTGAGTGAATCGACAATCGGATGAGGATAAGTCAACAGACTCTAGATCGAGTACACATACCTTCACGGCTCTGCTGAATACTTCTCGTTCACACAAGCAGATATGAACAGATTTTTGTTCGTACATCCTTCTCTGAAGCATATAAAATTATTGTATTTTCAATAATTCATGAACTGGTGCCGACTATAAATCCAAGTCGAACATGACTCGCTTTCGTTATCCTATGCATTGCGAATCGTATCTAAGTTGAAAATGTATACACATTGTTAGAAACGTTTTACATCTTTTAAAAGTGACAGTACTGGTCGACAATCAATGCAAGAGAGGGATGAAGCGCAGTTATGCCGCAGCATTATGTTTAATTGTAATAATCTAGTAAAGGAATTTAAATAGGTTTTTGCATTTTAAAAGGCCTAGCAAGTTCCGATTCCGATGTAGAGCAACATATGTGACCATCCTGTGCCAATTCCAGAACAAGTGCATTCAATTTCTTAAAGTCATTAATATCATGTCTCTAGTGTGTCATCAGCTTTTCCGTTTAGAAATTTCTAAAGATCCAAGTGATGAGTTGTGCGTTCAGTTAATAACCTTTAAACAAGAAATTAATAACCCATATATACACACA